CGAGGTCTTTGATCCATTTGGAGTTGATTCTGGTGCAGGGTGATATAGAAGGATCTAGCTTTAGTTTTCTAAAGTAGTTAACCAATTTTGCCAGCTAGGGAAGGCTTTTATACTGAGATATGAACTCAATGCCATAAGCAAGAGCTCAGCTTTTTTTCAGTCATGATTGTTACTCTGCTACTTGAGCCACCTCCATTTCTGGCTTTTTTTTTCTTTTCTGCTGCTTCTTTGAAGATAAGGAATCTTATGGATTTACCTGCCAGGGCTGGCTCTGAACCTCTGATTCACAGGTCTCGGCCTCCTGAGTAGCTAGGATTATAAGCACGAGCTACAAGCACTAGGCTGTTGACAACATTTTTGAATGGATTCATGACAACCCTAAGAATATAATGGAAGAGAATGGGATTTGGCCCACACATTTCACACACCTCTGATGGGTGATTGACAGCCCTGGAGGTGGGAAGAGTCCTGAGAAGGGAGCGGTGTCTGCAGGAAGGCTGATGTTTTTGCATTCGCAGGTGTGCACTTGTACTACGTTGGGGGAGAGGTGTATGCCGAGTGCGTGAGTGACAGCAGCATCTTCGTGCAGAGCCGGAATTGCAACTATCAGCATGGCTTCCACCCGGCCACGGTGTGCAAGATCCCCAGTGGGTGCAGCCTCAAGGTCTTCAACAACCAACTCTTTGCACAATTGCTCGCCCAGTCCGTTCATCATGGCTTTGAAGTCGTTTATGAGTTAACTAAGATGTGCACCATCCGGATGAGTTTTGTTAAGGTAAGGAAGGTGTGCTTGCTTTCAGATCATAAGGCAGTAAATGAAAAACACAACAAAAGACAAAGACACTCTTGGTTGATGTGGTAGTTATATGGCTAATTCAAGCAGATGACATTTTTTTAAAAATCAATCCTATTAGCAGTGTGTAGGCATTCCTCAATGAACACAAACTGCCTTGCTTAGCAATTACATGTGAAAATTTGGTATGTTTTTGCCAGTGCTGGGGCTTGAACTCAGAGCCTGAGCACTATCCCTTAGCTTTTTCACTCAGAGTTGGTGCTCCACCAATTAAGCCACAGCTCCACTTTCAGCTTTTTGGTAGTTAACTGGAGGTAAGAGTTTCATGGGCTTTTCTGCCAGAGCTGGTTTTATACTGTTAATCTTCATATCTCTTCCTCCTAAGAAGCTATCATTACAGGCATGAGCCACTAGTGCCTGGCTTGTGTGAGAATTCTTACGTTTGGAAGAAAACCAAGTAAAAGTAGCTGTCAGGTTTGTTTTGCTTTTTTTTGGTCGTTTGTGGGGCTTGAACTGGGCCTGGGCGCTGTCCCTCAGCTCTTCAGCTCTAGGCTAGTGCTCTACCACTTGAGCCACAGTGCCACTTCCAGTTTTCTGGCGGTTTATTGGAGATAAGAGTCTCATGGACTTTCCTGCCTGTGCTGGCTTCAAACTGTGATCCTCAGATGGCAGCCTCCTGTGTAGCTAGGATTGCAGGTGTGAGCACTGTATTTTTTTAAATACAGAAAGGAAAATCACAATAATAATAATAATTTTATAGGATTAAATTCTGGGAGATTTCTCTATCCCTTAAATTGCCAAACACTATTGTCACCCAGGAAATACAGGTATGAATTTAGTAAATTTGCCTGCATTAAATCAGATCCTTGTCTCACTCTTAGAAAACATTAAGCATGGGTGCTGGTGGCTCATGCTTGACATTCTATCTAGTTGAGATGCTAAGATGGGGATGATCATGGTTTAAGGCCAGCCCAGGCAAAAAGTTCAAAAGAGCACATTTCATCCAATAGCTGGATGTACCTGCACACACCTAATATCCATTCCAGCTATTTAAGACAGAGATTATGTTCCAGGCTTATCTGAGTATATAGGTTAGCAAGGGCTCATCTTAACATTTGAAAAAGCTGAAAGTTGAGGCCTGAGCTGTCATTGCTGCTCCAGAGGGAAGGAGGATTATGGTTCAAGGTGACCTATCAAAAGGCAAGATCCTATCTCAAAATAAACTGAGGCATAGGTCAAGTGATAATGTTTACCTAGCAAATGTAAATCCCTGAGTTCAAACTCCAGTGCCAAAAAGAAAGAAAGAAAAAGAAAAAAGAAACATCCAAGCAAAGGCAAACTGAGAAGATAAATGTATAGTTTAGATACAAAAGGTAACTGGTTGTAATACAAGACAATATAAATTAAATGCTGACAATGCTTCTACCCAATTGGGGTAGAACCATGGAGGTGATTAATTGAGGTGATTGAGAAAATAATGTATATTCTTGTTATAGGTATTTGCTGAGCTTTTTCTAGTTAAATAGTATTAAGGGTAAGGAAATGAGTGGAAAGGAAAAGCAACTAGGTTTGTCCATTCAATTTAAAGGCTTCAATTTATGCCAAATACTTGAAAGTTGTCAAGTTTCAAAATAGGAATGTGTTTGTCAAACTATGTACAATGTCATGCACCATCTAAGAAAGGAGGCTTACCAAAAGGTTGTGTGTGTGTGTGTGTGTGTGTGTTGAAGTACTGGAGTTTGGACTCAGGGCTTCCTGCTTGCTAGGTAGGCATGCTATTGCTTGAACCACACTTAGGGCTTTTTGCCTTAGTAATTTTTGAGATAGAATCTCAAGAAGAGTTCTGTTTATACTTTCCACATAGCTGAGTACATGCTACTCATTAGTTGAGATAGATTTTTCCTACCATCTTCCTAGGCTATGATCCTTCTGACCTCTGCCTCCTAAGTAGCTGGGATCCCAGGCTTGAGCCACTGCAGCTAGCCTAATTATTATTATTATTAATGTATTGGAATTGGAATAATATTGTATTGTATTGGCTTCACACATGCTAGGAAAATGCCTTACCACTGAGCTCCATCCTAACCTTCCAAATCAATTTTACTATTTTTATCAGCCCTTTAAATGTTACTATGACAAATGAGCAGGACACCAGTGGCAGCTCATGCGTGTAATCTTAGCTGCTCAGGAGGTTAAGATCTAAGGATTGCAATTTGAAATCAGTCCGGGCAGGAAAGTTTGAGAGATTCTTATCTCCAATTAACAATTAAAAAACCCCCCAAAACCTGGAAGTGGAGAAGTGGTTCAAGTGGTGGGGTGCTATCCTTGAACCAAAAAGCTCAGGGACAGTGGCTTAGTCCTGAATTCAAGCCCCAGAACTCTCCTACCCCACCACCCCCAAGTTACTGTGACAAATGGTTGTCTTACTTTCCTATCCTCGTTATATGTAAGTTATGATTTTAGTAATTATTTTGAAGAGAATCATTGCATGTAGTTTTTAAGATGGCTTCTTGCAACCATTTCTCTTTCACAATGACAAAGCAGCTCTAGTCATTCAGTGTTTTAATGGTATTTTTGCATTGGAAAGCAATGATTATGTCCCTGGAACCCTTTCAGATGCAATGCTGCTTCCAGCCAGCAGAGGGCAGGAAGTTGCCATTAATGAATAATCACTGGAATTTTAGTTATTTTCTCCAGATCCCTGTTTTAAAATGAGGCTGAAATAGCTACATTGCATAGGTAGTCACTTCACTGTAACACAAGCTCACATAGAAATAGGATTTACCTGAGATCAACTAGATGTATTCTTCAGATATGCACCATTTAAATTTATAATGCTATATATATAGTTCATAGGAAAGTAATAGGAAAAAATTTCATAATCTTACAAATATGAAGTAATTTTTAAATTTTCTTTCTTTTTTCTTATTTTGGTCCAAGACTGGGACTTGAACTCGGTGCTTGAAACTTTCATTCACTGGCTAGCGCTCTGCAAACAGAGCCATGCCTCCAACCCCAAGATTAAAAAAAAAAAAATGTTGTGGTGACGGGAATCCAACCCAGGCCTTTATCTGTGCTAGACAAGCACTCTACTTAGCTGTGTCCCTCGCCATAATTTCATTAAAAATATAAATAACTCTAAGTGATTAGTTTAAATACTACAGATGACTGAACTCCAGATGATAATTGGGAGGAGATGAACCAGATCATTTAAAGGTGTCTTTAAGCTCTGATTTTTCCTGGTAGTGATCACTCACTCAGCAAATATTGAAGCAGAACCTGTCATGCACCAAGCCAGGCGCTGCTGCAGGCACTGGCATCCACAGTGATTACCCACAAATCCCTGCCCTCGTGAAATGGAAATGCTGGTCGACAAGCTGTAAACAACACCCTTGACAAAAGGTCAAGAGGAATGAGATTATGTTGAGCTAGGCAATGGGAACTGGAGTGCTGGGACTAGAGGAGGCTGGGAGGGAGTGGTGCCTGTCAGCAGAGTTGAGGGAGATGATGGAGTCAGTCATGGAACTCTCTGGAAGAAGAACAGTAGAGGCTGAGAAAAGACCAATCTGGCAAGAGATGCCTGGCACTATGGAGCAACAAGAAAACGAGTGGGGGGTGGAGGCCTAAGGAGGGGGATCATGCGATCAGAGCCACCTTCCTACGCCCCCTGAGGGCTCCACAGGAACATGAGCCATGGAGTTTCTTGGCCTGGCTTGTGTTTTTAGAGGGCCACATTGGCTGCTGTGTACAGAAAAGATGGGAAGCAGTGAAGGTGGAAAGGAGGAGACCAGGAGAGGTGGTGGTCGCTCCCACCAGCAGAGCAATGCAAGAGCAGCCAGAAGGGAAGGATCCCAAGCAGAAAGGCAGATTGGATGCAGGTGTGAGGAGAAGAAAGTTAGAAAGATGAAATTAGTCACCTTCAAGGAAGAGAAGAATCAGGTGGGTCCGGCTTGCAGGTATTATCAACAGCTCCCGTCTGGGGGCCAGGTGTGATGGTATATGCCTGTAACCCCAGCTGTTCTGGAAATAGAAGCAGGAGAAACATCATCTGAGGCCATCCCAGGCAAAAGCATAAGGCCCTACTTGAAAAAAAATGAACTAAAAAGCACATGGACTGGGGAGAATGGCTCAAGTGGCATAGCACCTGTCTAACAAGCTCAAGGCCCTGAGTTCCAAGCTTTGAGGTGTCTGTCACACACTGAAATGAAGATAATGAGTAAACAGTTGTTAGATGCCCGACTCTGGGGAGAGAGGTTGGTGCTGGAAAGGTAAATGTGAACTACCCACAGGTGAATGCTATTGAACTCCATGGGTCTGGATGAGATCACCGTGGCTTTGCTTTTACAGAGAGGACAAGGGATCTAGCAATGAACCCCGGGACACTTCAACAACACTTCAATCCCAGGAAAAGAAAGGCAGCCAGCAAAGGAAACTGTAAAAGGCCAACTAGTGAAGCAGTAGCAGGGCCAAATTCTAAAAATGCCTAAATGGTGGAGGTGCTTAGTTGGGAAGACATACAACTATTGATCCTTGGGAAAAAGGGAGGTGGCTGAGTAAGCAAGTGTGGTGGAAATTTTTGTGTTTGTCTGTCTGTCCCTCTCTATCCACCCATCCATCTCCTCTCCTGTGAATAGCTATACATGAGAAACAAGCGAGCTAGAGAGAGAAGAGTTCCATGCTCTGGTAAGCCAAAAGCCCCTCTATTCTGTCTTCATAACTTGCAGAACTAATGTGTGAGGAGTAAAAGTTCAGCTCCAGCACAGAACAGGTGGACGAACATAAGGTTGAGTGTCTTCCTTTGTAGCAAGAGAAGAACTTGCTCATAACCCACGGGGATGAAGCCAGAGCCCCAGACCGTGTCCAGGCAGAGATCTAGCTGTGAATCCAGAGGCTGGTACTAGGGTAGACTCCTCTGAGACTTCTGGTTAATGCAAAAGGCCTCTTACACTTCCAAGGGATGGAGTCCACATCCCCCCCCAGGTATCAGGAGCTTTCTAGGAGTGTGGGCTCGTCATCCCCTATTGGCTGCCTGGGACCCTCTAGCTCCCGAAGTGCTGGTGGCTGGGGTAAAGTGACCCACTGACTGTGGTCTCTGTTCTTGCTTTCCAGGGTTGGGGAGCAGAATATCATCGTCAGGATGTCACGAGCACCCCCTGCTGGATTGAGATTCATCTTCATGGACCACTGCAGTGGCTGGACAAGGTTCTGACTCAGATGGGCTCTCCACATAATCCCATTTCTTCCGTGTCTTAACAGTCTTGCCATAAGCTACATTTCTATGGAGTAGATGCTATGTCAGGTAGTAGCTTATTTCAGATATGCAGCCTAAGTGACCGTTGCTAAAGACAGACAGAAAGATGTGTAATGGTATTGTTCTTTTTGTTTTGTTTTGTGCTACCTAGTTAGCCTGGGGCTAGTACACTTGGAAAGCTAGGGTTTCTGGGCCTGTGATTTAAAGAGACAGCAGCTGCTTTTGTGGGAGAAACACAGAAAAGGCAATGGTGTCAAGGTGGTGTGAAGGGTGTTGGTAGGGTCCAAGGTGGTCTGAGGAGTGTAAAGCATGTTGTATGCACTTGCAGAAACACCAGAACTGATCACATCGCATAGCAGAACACCTCTACCAGTAACTCTAGAACAAATCCACTTCTAGAGTGGATAAAGCCATCAAACCCAAGCAGCTGAAACAATCTCACTTTTAGTGCTACCGGCAAGCAAAGAAGTCAAGCTTAGAGAATGAACAATGAGATAATTAGCCACAGATGATTGCATCTTATTCCTGAAGTTAATTTTATTTCTGTGCTGATATCAATGGTACATTTTTAACAGATTTATAACTGTGATTGGAAAAGAAAGAAACTGTGAAGCTAAGAGTCATGTGGCTTCAATCTACCATTGGGGAGGGGGAAGGGGTGGGAAAAAATGAATCTAATAGGGAAACCAATAGGAAAAATAGCATGATAGGAGTTGTAATCTCAAATGATATGGTAAGTCTTAGCATGCAGATCAAGAACACCTAGGGAGGCTCCTGCTTTCTCCATTGGAAATCAGGTTCTGTGTTTGTTATTCAGGCCAGAGCATCCTGCGGGCTGTGGAGTCTGCATAGGGCTTTGACATCATGCCAATCCTATGAAGACAAGAAGCAGGGAGCATATTAAGCTAGACAAAGGTCACACTGTTGCTCACATCACCTCAGCCAAGTGTCCAGGTTGATGTACCCTTGCTATGCCTTCCTGCCTGTTGACAACTATTGACTATTTACAGATGGTTGAAACAATAGTTAAAGCCTTTGAGAAAACTCACCCATCATCGGACCAAGTTTCTGAATTACTGCCAGGTGTCAGTAGCTACTATCTGTAATCCTAGCTGTACTTAGGAGGCTGAGATCTAAGGATCTTGATTGGAAGCTAGCTCAAGCAGGCAAGTCTGTGAGACTCTAATCTCTAGTTAACCAGCAAAAAGTAGAAGCAGAGGTGTGGCTCAACTGGTAGAGTACCAGCCTGAAGTGAAAAAGCTAAGGGGCAGTACTCAGGCCCTGAGTTCAAGCCCCCAGTACCAATACACATCACATATACACACACCACACGAAGGAATATAGGCAAATAATAAAGGGAAATGTTTCACATTTTTAGGTACTTGCCACCCACTAAACACCACATTGCTTAGGAAATATTTGATACTGATTTTAAAAGTATATAATTTCAGATGGCAGTTATGCTTGTAAGCCAAGAGGTTTCTTCATTTATATGCTCTCTAGTGTTAATACACATGTGATTGCTTCTTATTAAATTGTATTCAGGATAGAAATGATCCTGTGAAGAGAGGAATGAGCTGCTACTGTCACCTCTTACAACGACTAGTTGTCTAATAGAAACTTTCATATAAATCTCTGTATACACATAGGATAGAAAGTAACTACAATTCACATTAAAACTAGGCAGCCCCCTTAGTATTTAGAAAAGCCCACAGTCCATTGGTTCATTCATCCATGCTAATCACCTGTGTGCAAGTGACCATGCCGAGTATTTGTAGGGCCAAGTGTAAGGGAGTGATAGTCCCAGCCCGCTGAGGAGCTGAGAGTCTCATAATAAATCCATTTGTATGGATGCTTCCCTATAAATAAACCATGAAAACTTGCTTCTGCTTGAAAAATGTAGCTGATTTTTTTCATTATCTCTAATTCTGAAATTTTATTTCCTTTGAGTAATGGGTTCTTTGGATAAATGCTACTTTTCTTCTGTTTTGAAGGCTTCTTTGTCCTCATCTTTGCTTCTCTGTTGTTTAAATAATTTTTCCAGACAATTTGTGAATATGAGTATTTCACATCAGCACCATTTCATGGGAGATTTTCAAGCAAACACAGTGTTTGCTTAAGGGATCAGACATAGCTTTCTTCATCTCTCTACAAGCTATAAATACATCTTCTGCTCTTAGGCCTTTATAGAATTCATCAAAAGGAGTAGCTTACAAACAATATTAAAAAAAGCAAAACCAAACCAAAAACTCTTGCATTTCCCTGCAACTTTAGGGAACCAGAGCAATACACTGCATGCACCTGAATTATTTCTGCAAAAATAAATGAATGCGATTGGAACACATCTCCAACCATGGGCAACCAAACCCTACTGTAGTAGGCACACAACTTAGAACTGGTGAGAAATAAATCCTATGGTCATTGTAACTTGGTCATTTTCTAAGTTTTTTTTTCTTTTTTTTTTGCTGCAAAGGTTATAGTGTAGTATTTGATCTGAGACTTCTAAATGTACTAATTTTGTGTTCATCCCATGAGGCAGAGAAGCTAAATAAGACACCGATTAGTGTTCTCTTACAGAAAAAGGAGCAGAGTAGCAGGCACAACCTTTCAATATATCAGCACTATAAAAAATCCAAATTATCCTAGGCCAGGATGGCTGAGAACCTCAGCATTCACAAGATCTGACACATTCATTTTGCTCTCCATACCAGGGTTTTTTTTTGTTTGTTTGTTTTGTAAAAACTAAGATGTGGACAGTTGTTTTAGCAAGATGATGCGTTAATGGCTGCCAGTGTTTCAGAACCAGAAAGATGTGAATATTTTTTTAAACAATATACTTTAGGTTCTATTTTTATATTTTATTATTACTATTTTATGGTACTGAGGTGGGTTTTTTGTTTTGCTTTGTTTTGGTGTCAGTACTTTGGCTTGAACTCAGGGCCAAGGAGTCTTCCCTTGGCTTTTTTGCTCAAGGCTGATGCTCTACCACTTGTACCACAGTTTCACTTCAGGCATTTTGCTGGCTAATTGGCCATAAGAGTCTCATGGAGTTTCCTGCCTAATGGCTCCTGTGATCCTCAGATCTCAGAATCCTGAGTAGCTGGAATTACAGACATGGCCACTGTCGCTCAGTTTGTGGTCCTGAAGGTTGCACAGCAGGCCTGGAGCTTGCCAAGGTGGAGCTCGACTACTGGAGCCACAGTTCTGGCCGTTTTCAATGCCTGCAGCCGTGACTTTTGCAATAAGGTCTCCCAACATTTTCTGGACACATTGGCTTCACACAAAAATCCTTCTTCTCTCAACATCCTGGGTAGGTAGGGTTGGGGGCATGAACCAGTGGCTCCCAGCTTTCTTTAAGTTTTTAAATGTAATAAAATCAGGAAAAGTTGGCCAGTTAGCAAGCATTTAGAGTCTCCTTTTTATTGTCTTTGGGGATATGGGAAGAAGAAAACAATAGCAATGAAAGCATTTTATAAATATCATTTACTTTATTTTGAGCTTCTGCCTAACTTTGCATATATTCCAAATATTTGGTGCATATATATATATATTTAATAAGCAAAATAGAACAGGCACTCCAAATTGTTTAACCTGCTATGATTTACAGCTGAACTGTACAACAAGATTAGGTAATCCTGTCATATCTTAAAGAATGAATGTAAAACAGGTCAACCAAAAAACTAAACGGTCTCTTTGAATGAAGCACTGCTTTTGGTTCTAACAATCTTGGCTTCAATCATCCTTCATATGCACTCATGTACTGTCCTCTGATTGGTCATAATAAAGAATACTCTACCAATATGTCTTGGCTTGTTTTTACTATAAACTTCATAGATGGATTCACAGCATATAGGTTTGTGAGTCCCTTAGACAATCTGTGTGTGTGTGTGTGTGTGTGTGCACACGTGTGCACATGTGTGTGCTTGTGCAGTACACATACATGCCAGTCATGGGTCTTAAACTCAGAGTACTGTACCTGAGCCTTTTCATTCAAGGCTAGCATTCTACCACTTGAGCCTCAGCTCCACTTCTGGCCTTTGATAGTTAATTGGAGATTAAGAATTTCACGGACTTTCCTGTCTGAGCTGGCTTTGAACCATAATCCTCAGATCTCCTAAGTAGCTAGGGTTACAGACATGAGTCACTAGCACCAGCTCCTAAGACAATCTTAAACTGTCCTCTTAGTAAATAGGATGTGTGTGTGTGTGTGTGCACGCGCGCGCGCGCATGCACACATCAGTGCGCATATGTGCTGTACTGGGGCTAGAACTCAAGGACTTGCACTCTTGCTTGAGCCACACCTCTACTTCCAGCTTTTTGGTGGTTAATTGGAGATAAGATTCTCATGGATTTGGGCTGGGAAGGTGGCTCAGTGGTAGAGTGCTTGCCTTGCATGCATGAGGCCCTAGGTTCGATTTCTCAGCACCACATAAGCAGAAAAAGCTGGCAGTGGCTCTGTGGTGCAAGTTGTAGAGCACTAGCCTTGAGCTGAAGAGCTGAGGGACAGTGCCCAGGCCCAGAGTTCAAGTCCCCATGACCAAAAAAAAAAAAAAGAATCTCATGGATTTTTTTTTTCTCTGTCTGGGTTGGTTTCAAACTGTGCTCATCAGATTTCAGCTTCCTGAGTAGCTAGAACTACAGATCTGGGACACCAGTGCCCAGCTGAAAATAGGATTGTGAAAACACCATGCTACAGAAGAATTTGATGATGCTTTTGAATTAAGCATCTTGGATCAAGTAGCATTATGGATAGAATTTTGAAGATACTCTGCAGAAATGTTCAAGATAATATACAAAGGCTTCCTCAACTTACCATGGAGTCACATTCCAATAATCCTACATAAAATAATGAAATAATCCTACATAAAATTCCTTGAGGGCATCTATCCTACTGAGTAGCAAGGCACTCGGGAGAGCATGTGTTGTTTTCTCTGACGATCTCGTGGCTTGCTGCCTCTGCCCCAAGCTGTCACAGTGCAGTTCTGCATATTGCTAGCCAGGGAAAAGCAGCAAAATCCAAAATTTGAAG